AAAACGAGTCGTTAGATGAGCGAAGCAGCGAAGTACGGAGCTCTACAGAGCGAACCAAATTCCGTTATCCCGTTTTCTGCCAAAATCATAAAAGTGTATGACTTGATGGATTATGAGTCAAATGGACCTTCCTAAGTCAGGAGGAAGGCGAAAGCGCCAAAGCGTCATTTGATGCTGTACTCTCCTACATTCGACAAGCCTACTGTCAACAATCTCGGTTCTGCTCATCACAGGAACACTGTCTTATGTGATCAGTGTTGTCGAAATTAGATTTTACAGATCTTTACCGATAGCATACGAGATCTGTTATTCTGCCAAAATAAATTTCTGATTTCACGGACCGCATTAATCGTATAATTGCCTTTTTCTTTTTCGTCGGACCTAGTGATTCAAAAAAGAAGCAGCTGTAAGCGAAATTTCGTCCACCAAAGCAATAACGTTTCGCAGTAATGATTAGAGATCTCTAGATTTTTGTTCGAATGATTACAGATCTCTAGATTTTTGTTCGAGAGCTCGAAAATGTTGAGTTTGGCTTCCATTACTTCATAGTGTTAATTTTACACAACTTTGGAGATCAAACAGCAGATTGGAATCTTATTCGTCTCGTAACAAAACATTACATAAAACAAAAACTCTTCTACAAGCCAAACAATTTTTAATTTCCTCATTTTTTCTGGTGTACTGAAGAATTGTGGCGCAGTTACAGTTGTCCTGTGTCACACATAAGGCCAATGGTTCGATTTCGCACTCATCGTTCATCAAGCTTTCCATTGCTCCATGGTCAGTAAACTGGTACCAGACTTATCTGGGAGGATAACAGAACTGATTCGATACAGTGGTGCCAACCCGAATTATTGTAAAGCCCACATATGCATTTACTAACCTCAAAAGAAGCTGAGAATTGAAAACAAATACATGGTACATCCCTCAGGGATCAATCAACATCGAGAGCTCTATCCTTTGTCCTTCACAAACATTTGTCAACAGCTTGCGAAAACGAGCCTAGGCCTGTTTTTTAGTTTGATTTCGAAACGATTATGTTTATGTTCTGAGTTATGGCATCTTACTATGGGTTTATTGATATGCTTGTTGGGTCGCATTATGAAAAGAAGATCATTTTAGATGAATGCCAAAGACCCCGAAATGAACCGGAAGGACGAGTGCGTCACCATCACACGAAATCTCGCGCCTTTTCTTCGTTTGATCTTTTAACCAAACCTAGGCAGCATATAAATGAGATCCTCCGAATCATTCAAATAGATTAATACTACATACGTCCAGGCTCTAAAGAAGGCGGGTCGCCGAAACGTCAGCCGAATTTCTACGACTGATTTACCAACCTCGCGTCAGCTAATCAAGATAAGTTTTCTCGGTGTTCATTTATCAAGTAATTATGTCGAGGTTTACAGAAAATCGAACTTTTGATTTGTTGCGGGATAAAGATCACTGAATGGTAACTTTGTGCAACTCTAGCTTTCATGAACGCTACAAAGAAGTCTAATGAAGCTTCCTCAATGATATTTCATCCTGTTACGACGATGAAGTGTCTTACACTGTGATCGATTCACAAACAAATCCAACATCTACCATAAAAGTTGTTATTTATTTTAAGAGCAAAAAAGGGCTTTCCACGGCTGAAGTCATCGCAGCATTTCTTCCGAACGTTTTGGAAATTTTTCGAAGTTCATTGAAAATGCTCTTTGTTGATCGAGAAATAGTGTATCTCAAGTCTCGCGCGATGATCACTTGATGTGTCAGATAGTCCCGAAGTCTTTCCTTCTTCTAGATGCTTAAGACCAAGCTAAAACTTCTGAAATCGATCATAAACGTGTTGAAAGACTGAGTGATACGAATGTAATCACCTACTACTCTCTTACACTATCACCTACCTTCCTCTCAGTCAAATCGACTACATCAGTGTTCCCAGCCAGTCATCCATGAATCAATCTGGGCTCAATGCTCGTTTTATAGCACCGACGGAGTCAAAATATGGTTTAAAGTAAGGAAAAGTAAGGGCCTCGGTTGACATAGCGGATAGCACGTGATCCCTGAGAAGGCTGATCGCGGATTCGAAACCCACCTGAGCTTCTCACTTTCGCTCGTATCTCACCACCCTTACGGTAAAATTACTCATCATACTCTACCAAAGAAAAAAATTATTAAAATTCAAAGCATAGAACTCAGATAGAAAATAACAGGTAGCAATGTTTAGAAAGACGAGGATACACAATTTTTTTGCTGAAACTTGATGCAACTATTCTATATCGATTGCGCTCACCAGTTATACATTAAACTAGCGACACTTGTGGAGATTGTATGAAGATATGACTCATAGTAATATGAGTAGTGCAGCGATAGAATGATCACTGGTTCCATTTTAAGATGTAGACAATCGATTTATTAGAGCATTTGAAGAGATTTTTATACAGCTCTCACGCTTCTCTCGCGTTGCACCTTTAACATTGATATCACTCATAAGACCGTATATGATCGTCTATGCCACAGCACATAATTTCATAATATAGCCTGGCCAAACGGCTGATACTGTGATTTCATAAGAACGGGTTCGGTTTCCATGATTTTTTTGACGGTGCGGCGACGAATACATCGGTCACTCTGTATCCGTATGAAAGACACCTAGCAGGCAACCCTTCTTCATAATACAGAGGTTTTCCTAAGAAAAGATACCATCTTTGCATAGGAATACAAAACTTTTGCAAGTATGACTCTTATTGCATTTTACACAAATTCCATGAATTCATAAATGAGACGCAACGTTAAGAGCTCTTTGTTATCACACGTGCCCTCACACGAAATATCGCATCGTCGTTTTGATATTAGAGAGGTCGTGCTTGGCACGGTTGGCTCTATAACATGAACTATTCAGTGGAAGAGTCCAACAAAACGGTGATATGCTGAAAAACTGTCGTGCTTCCATAGTGCTTGAATTCTAGGTCTTGAGATATTTAGGTGATTACTGAGATATTTGGCTAAGTAGGTGGTGAGCAAATAGACATTCTAAGCTCAAAAATTAAAAACGCCGAAAGGTTAGACTGCGTGGACAAAAAACATATCAAAAAGTTCTTGCTTGCTGAACAAGAAAAGCAGTCGATCACTCAACAAGTCTGAGGAACGCAAATGTCGCCAACACCTTTACCTCGCATCTCTACACAGAGATTCTTTTAAAGCGAATTATTTAGAAACCCGCTTTAGATCATAAAAGTATTCAGAATTAAGTTGAATATTCACCTGCCGTCAGAGCATTTTTTGAAAATTTTTATCTCTTCTAACTATCTGCATGAGTGCAATACGCTTGTTTCGGCTTTGCAACCTCGTCAGCTGCAGGGCTCCTCTCGTCTGAGTCAATTCTGGCAATTTCTTTGTGTAAGGGGGTTTTGTCGCGGAAGGGATTGGCTCAAACGAAAGTCACCGTGTAACTGACGAGGCTGCAAGGTCGAAACATGCGTATTACACTGTATAAGTGCCTATTCAAAACCTCATGAAAGTCTCGAAAAATACGTTGTCAAATTATACTGCATGAGGGAGATCCGTAAAAAAAAACACTCGCCTATGAAGATATGTGCAATAGTATCACTACATAGATCCCACCTTTCGACGTAGTTTCACCACTCTGTGGCCACTTGTGGCTGTCATTGTGTTTGTCTTGTTTTATCTTCACCACAGAGAGTTGGTGTTCGTTGAACTTCCATTACAACCGCCTCGGTGTAATATCATTTGCCGAAACGAGCACACCACCGACAGTACCATCGCGACTTCAGCAATCATCCGTCACTTCGTCTTTCAATATAAATGCGATGACTGCACCTACTGAACTCCTCGTGCAATTTTTTCTTTGGAATAAAATTATACTTTCATTCTTTATATTTTTTTACAAAACAAAGTAACATTTCTTGGTCATTCGCGTCCATCATAACTACGAAATGAACAATCGGCTTTTGCACTCATATATATTGCTATTAATTTGATGGCAAGTCATCAGTACAATAGCATCTTAGCAAACCGATTTATATTCTGTCAAGGTTCTATAAACTTGTATGAAAAGGTTTTTGGATGAGAAATTGCAAAGTTATGTTTTTTTTTGTCCAAAGGTTTGCTGGAAATTCTCAGTGATGAGTCACACAGGTTTCGGCCCTGGTCGAACGTTGAATCATTGCTGTTTTCTGGCTAAAATTTGTCACTCAGAACTTTCATCTAATATTGATATTTGTAGATGACCTCACGTTACACATGTTACAGATACTTGTATATCATTCATTTGATTCGTCTTCTCGCATCGATGCTCACGAAAGTCCTTGGCTTAGTGCATAGATTTAACCGCTGTTTAAGAATTTTTGGCTTTTGTGCGGTCGTTGAATACCAATTAAGTCGATTATTCCTGGATTCCTTAACTATAGCTATGTGAGCCCTAGTAGCTCTTCAAACACAAACACATGATATCCTTGGAGATTGCGTGCATTTGATAGTCATCTCTAGTACACTAACCGCTTTTTCTCACCAATCCTAACGTTGAGTTATTTTATTTACGTGATTCTTCATTTATCTATCAGCCTATTAGTACTATTGTTTATCACCCTCCAAAGGAGAAAATAATTTCAATTCTGCGCGAGATAATTGCCGTATTTCACAAATTCTCAAACTAGTTTGGTTTTTTTTCTGAAAACATGAATCACATCGATTTGTGCACTAAAGGGTAGAACTGGAGGTAAGTTAACTATCAAAACAATTCTCAGTCCTAGAAGATTACTTTTGGATGTAAATACATGATGCTCAAATTTGACAGCTTTAGATTTTCTAAACTAATCTTGATCCAAGGGATTGCATCTTGAACTATACGTGGATCAACATGTTCAACTCATGTACATTTAAGTTGGTCGATGAATCTGCATAAGACTATTACATATTTAAGATTCCTTATGTTTCAATTGCCCTTTTTGTAGTGTTGTGGTGTTTCAAATGTACCTCGAAGAATTGTGGAGTTCCGACCTAGACGGGAGTTGAATTCGCGTTTCACCCACCCCTAGACGGTGTGCTACCACTGCACCACTGAGGCCACCGCTCATCCACCACTAACTCTTCAACATCTCATTATCCCGGTATGGGTGAAGCGCGGGTTCAACTCCCGCCTAATGTCCAATTCATGCTCACTATTTTTCTCATAAATATACCATGAATCTGTCCTTCTCAAAAGTCCTGAGAGAGCGATAGTCGTTTGAGTAGTGATTATTGAGCGATTATTTCAATATAAAATATGCGTCTATAAATTTAGCTTTTATCTTCAGAATACTGGTTAGCCTTGCTGTCTGAAAATTAACTAAATGCTCAAATAATTTATTGATCAAATGTGCACCCACATATTTTCCACTTTCTTAGCAGTTTACTAGTTAGCTGAGATTGTCTTACCTTGACAAATGTGAGCATAGCTATATTAGAGCATTTTTTCTCTTCAAAGCCACGTAACAAAACCAAAAATCACTTAACGGAGTATAAAATCGTTTCAGCTCCTATGAAAACGCTTTGAACAGATTTTATAGCACTGTGAAAGACGTGAAGCACTGCATGTTTTCCTGCATGTGCGATCATTCTTCTTGGTAGCTATAATTCTTCATCAGATCTAAATGTCTGAAAGATCACATTTCTAGTAAACTCCTCCATCGCAAGATTTCACGCTGATACTAGCTTTTCATTCAATTCGCCTCCTTATGTATTCCTTTCGGAAGTAGCCAGTTTGCATATAATTTCGATCGCGGTTTGGAAAAGTGTAATTTCTTTTCTACAGCTGCAAAACGAATTACTTATAGAGCGAGAATATCAGTTCATCTTCTGCATGGCCTTTTTTGGGTCGTCTTGACCATTGAACATTCCATACTGATATTCATCTTTAAAACCGACCCAACGACTTTCATCGTTCACGTGTTTCTCAAACGTGGTCTTCAATCCGTCCAAATTACCAAGATTAATCCATTTGAAAGGAACGAATTGTTCTTACAAGGCATTGGACGCTCGTGCTGTCTACTCTATACAATAATTACAAAAAGGCATAAGTATCAGTCCATGTTTTAACTTCATGGAATAGAGTTGTTAAGACTCTTTTAGTTCAGTATGATACGAACTTATAACATCATAGATATTATGACTAAGCTGTCCTAACATAGGTTATGGCACGTAGTGCAGTGGTTGAAGATGCCCCGGATTACTCATTCATTAGAGTATACCAAACCACGTTATGCATCGAATGTCGTCAATTTGGCGCCATATTATTTTGCGAGGATTAAAAAAGCCGATTCGCCACATCGGTGGAACCGTTGGGAAAAATTTGCAACCATTTACTGTCTAGTGCATCTAATCCACTGCTGATGGATTAAACAAGGCCAAATATTTTATCTCATGTTTTATATCAAGCAAGAACGAATCGGACCGGATTCGACGCAGTCCAGACTCACTTCCGAGGCGTTATCGATATTAATTCAAAGAACGGAATCCCTAGATTTTTTTCGAAAAAACACGCGATAGAAAGGGTCTTGTGGGTGATGGATGCGAGGGAAACAAATTGAATGCATGAGTTTCTGAGATCTATGCTGTAAATGTGGTGACTTGTCAAGAAAACAATACTAAATAAAATCATCACAATTAGTGGCGCTCCTAATTTTCTTCATATATTTGTTAGCCACCCACGACGAACGCGATAATAATCTGAGCAAAAGTGGTAAGTTCATTTTATTTGATTTACGTCACACTACTACAGGCCTCCGTATCCTCCATTCAACAGCAACTGCCATTTTTGTTTAATTCAATCGCATCCTAAAATCATAAGTGCTAACAAACATTGCAGTCGACTAATTTGAGACCTCGCTCAAGAAAATATGATTTGACAATGTATTTAGAGAGTTTCATGATGTCTGCTATGGGCACTCAAACAGTGCTAGGCACGTGTTTCGGCCTTACAGCCTCTTCAATGCGATGACACCTTTTCGTTCAGTCAGTTTCTCGGGGACTTCCCCTATACAGAAGAATCGCAGACGAACTTTCACATATTAGTAATCATTCGATAGCGTAGTCGAACCTGAAATCAACGCTGTGTTTATATCCTGACAAGAACGTTTTTCTGAAACGCAGCAGGTGGAATAAGTCAAATTCCTATTTGCAATCAATGGCCTCTTTGGTCGATTCATGTGCGTGTGCATGAGGCGGCCACGTGAACTGCTGAGGCGGTATTTTTCTATGCATTCATATGCTCGAATACTCGATGGTCATCGCGTCCTCGAACGTATCTGCCTCAGCAGCCTCACTGTGTTGGCCAAACAGGCCATTTATCGCAGATGGGAAGTTACCTATTCAAAATGTTGTTCCAGGATATAAGCACAGCGTTTGAATCAGATTCGATAGTATTATTGGAAGATTACTAATAGTTCAAAGGAAGAGCTTTGTCCGATATGGGCGTCTGTAACGCAAGAAATCCCCTCCTGCAGCAACGTCAAAAAAAAGTTTTTTTTTCGAAAACCGCCGACGTCTCTGCTTTCGAATGGATACTAATGCTCCTATGAAAAAAAATCCTCCAGCGAATGAGATCGGCCTTTTATTCGTCCCTTCATAACTGAATTGTACTCATTACACTTTGATATTGTTTAGCATAGAAGAGATTGATATCAATCTTTATTCGACTAACATTTCGGTGCCTTTGCTTTTTTGGAAGCCGATTTGATCTGAATCGAAAATTCACAATAGCTCGTATTGAGGTGTGAATCTCGGTTGTCGTTGAATGTACTCTCAAATAAAACATCGCTGGGAGGAACAATATCTGAGGGTTTGATTTTAATGGAACAATATCTTTCGAAAGATCAACTTTTATTCAACCCCAGCATAGAAAACCGATGCACATTTTCTTTGATTGATAAGCCAACATGGAAATATTCTGAAATTTCATGAGGCTGAAGTTCGGACATATTCTTCTTTTATATAGATGATTTTTAGTGGAGTGTCTACAGTCGTCAGCCTCGCTATGTATTAGGTTGCGCAGACAATTCTGGCAAATTTTTAGAAGTCTCATTTCTTGACATCTTTGTGTCGTTCTTATTGATAGTTTTGTATACATTTACCTAGTTCATCAATTCAAGCTCCAAAATGCCTATTGAACAGTATGATTTGCGCGCATTGATCCACCATTATTGGAGAAAAGGTTTAACGATTCTTGAAGCCGTCGATGACATTAATGATGGTGAAGGTGCAGATACGGCGACAAAATCGACTGAGAGGAGATGGCTAAGAGCTAGAAAGAAGGCAATTTCGATCTCGAAGACATATCTCATTTTGCTACGCCATCTATTTGGAAGAAAAAGACTTGGAAGCCGTTTTGATGCTGAGCCTTCATCAAGCACTCGTAATTTGAGTGAAGAGCCTGGTGCTTCGCAGAGGACCACTGTCAGCAGTCTGCACCAATATGATCCGATGTCTTGCAGAACGAAATAGTTATTGTCGCTTTTGCTGTTAATTTACGCATAAAGAAAGCTTTAAGAAAATTTCCAGATTTTTCTACTCAACACTAGGTAGATGTTCGCTGTCTCATCGAACGAAATCGTTCTGGCATGGAGCACGTGGGATAATACGCGAATTCTCGGTTGTTATCGAATTTTTTAAGCAGTACTTACTCAGGAAGATTCCGCTCGATATGATTATGAAGAGCCACCCCACATGGGACAAGGGACTGTATACCACCGACATGGGTCAATCGGCGTTAAAGAAGACGAACAAGTCGAAGCGTTAGGTAATCAGAAGGTATATAACATCCTCGTGCAAGTTTAACATTCCCAGGAGATATATTGGTCATTCAAGCTCAGATTTTGTGTAGGTCGGTTAGATAAAGTAAAATATTCGCAATAGATGTGTTTGTAATTCATGCTTAATGATCAGGCCTCAAACATTAATTATCCCTCTCAAGCGCGCTTGTCCACATCATTATCACCGACGAATGAATTTCTCTCGATTCGTAGTGCATCTCATCAATTCTCTGGCTCAAAGGTGTTTGTCAATAGTTGCACACATCAATGTCAGTTGTTATGCTGTCAGTTCGAGGACATATCATTCCTAACATACCTCCATTAAGCGAATGAAGCTTTATCTTTCGTAAGGGCAAAAAAAATTACATAGGTAAAACCTTTTAAGAGGTTTAATCCCTGTTTACTTCAACCTTTACCTCCTAAAATGTCCTTCACTCTGTCCAAGTCTATCTCTTCTTTCTTCGAGAAATTATCTTCCGTCAGCTGATACGGTGCTGGAACAATTCTTGAAATTTCACTTTAATTTTAAGCATTTCGTTTGGAGATTTAACATATTTAAAGCTGAGAATTTGCGCACAATAAAATGGAAAAGACACAAATTTTCCTCGTGGAACTTTCTACATTGTTGACCTGTTAATAAACTGAGAATGTATTTCTTGTCTTTTTAGACTATGAAGATTACGTTGATCTTCTTAATTTTTGCTTATGTCGCAGCAAGTGGACATCGACGAGTCAGTTTTTTTTATTACTCTTTGCAGAAATCCATATCGCACGTCTTTTACAAGCTTATCTCAGAATTGAAGAGAGCTTTCCGATTTTTGAATATCTCTTAACTCTTCTGTGTGAATCTAGGCTCGAAATTGTGGTTTACCGACATTCACAAGTCGTCTGCCCAAAGATGTACAAGAGAAAGTTCTGAAGATATGGGAAAACTACGAGGATGGAGATGATTGTGAGAAAGAGTATCAACAAACGAAGAAATTGGTCAGATATTATATTTGGCTTGCTCGTCCAATATTCTGCTCAAGACAGGAAAAAGTTGTTTTACCACTGCAAAAGCCTGTTTTTGAATTAGAAAAATAGAAAAGAAAAGACACTAGAGCGCCGCAGAACCGTCTGTCACCAGACATGTCTGTACAAAATCAAACTCTATATAATCCAAAGACGCTACCAAACCAGATTGGTTTGCTTAGAACAACGCTTTGTAAGTGCGTCAATCTTGCTAATATTATGATTGCATCGAAGCTAGCAATATTGACGACATCACACGATAAGGCCTT